TCTTCCAGATCTCTTGGTTTCCTATAGCTCCTAACACCTAGCCCCAGGGCGGAGATATGAATGCTCTGCTGGCTTTGTGTTCTGGGTCCAGGTCCATAATCAAAGCAGGTGAGGTGTGGCCACTTGGGAGCAAATCCACTCCGGACTGTTGAAGCCGAGCTGGGCGGAGAGCGGCCCCACACCCACCTCCCCACACCGCTGCTTCTCTGGTCTTCAGAGCCGAAGGAATAAGAGGAGCCTGGTAACTGCCTCTCAATTTCACTTAAGGAACTGACTCAAGAATCGGTGATTTTTCCCAAAAATAAGCATTCACAACTTTTTGTGACAAAATTGAGAAGTCAAAAACCATGCCGAATCCGCTCTCCTCCTGATGGAGTTGAAACCAGAAACATTTCAGGAATTTGCTCCCAGGTCTGACCCAAGCCAATGCCTACACCTTTGCAGGACTGCCAAGAGGCCCCCGATGGGGGTCAGGCAAGGGCAGGTTCCTGGGGTGCCAGCTGCACGATGTCCTCTACCCACACTGTGTCCCAAGCGATAGCACAGAGGTCACTGCGTGGACACAGGACGGAGAGGTCAGGACAGTAAACGCTTGATTGAGTTTCCATTTGTTCTCAAGACTCACCATTTGGTGTCCATTTCTCCCAGCACATGGGTTGCGCATAATTATTTTTAAAGGAGTCCTGAAAGTGCATTTTTCCAACATTGCCTGATTTTTTGTATGCAACTCAGCAGCAGTGGACAAAGGCGTCTACTGCACACAGCTGTGCGGTTTGGAGCTGTGCTCACAGACAGATGATAGGAAGCCAGCCGAGCACCACAGTGCTTATGTGAGGGGGGGAAAGGGGGGAAGTGTAAGAATTTAACTCTCCTTGATATGTTCTTATGTTTTACACGTTTTTTAAACAGTGACCACGTCCTGCACACGTATAACCAGAGCCAGGCCTCGTGAGGAGGACACAGGGAAGACCTGCGCCTCACTGCGAGGGGAAGGAGCTGGCCAGGCAGCCACAGCCGCCAACAGCCAGGCAGCGCCGGGGAAGTGAGGAAAACACCAGCTCTCAGGACTTCCAGATGCTTCAAAAACTCCGAACAGTGACAGTTACGGTGGCACCCATCAGTCTGCCAGGACGTGTGTTAACAAATGTCACGGAGCACGGGCTCCGGCCACATGGCCTCCCAGGGCGGTGCCAGCGCCAGGCACCGAAGGTGGTCAGGAGACGGGCATCCTAGTCACAGCGAGCCCCGCACAAGATAACTTGACTTTTGTACTTAAATAACAGTCAGAATTTGCAGCTCCTTTACCACTCTTTAACATAATCTTAAAAGTCATATCTATTGGAAAGCATCCATTTCCCATGAGCTGGACACCAGGAAGGACCCTGCACACAGCAGAGCCACATCCCTGTGTGCTCCCAGGACCCTGCACACAGCAGAGCCACATCTCCATGTGCTCCCAGGACCCTGCACACAGTACAGAGCCACATCCCCATGTGCTACCAGGGCCCTGCACACAGCAGAGCCACATCCCCGTGTGCTCCCAGGACCCTGCACAACAGTCAGTGCTACAAGAGCCTCTGGCCAGTCGACCACGCAACGGCACTTTTCCACTGCAAAGCCCCCTTATCCTCTTTGGCAGAGAAAAGAGAGCAGTCACCTCACAGAGTGCCACACCTCACACTGTGGAAGCTCTGTCCCTGTCGGCAGCCGAGACCACGGTGCTCTCCACCTCTCCCGAGATCACGCCTGTACCAGTACACCTGAGACCAAGTCAGCCACGTCTTCCTCGTAGACCCGATTAGGGCAGATGGTGGCTTGATTTAAAAATGCCCCAAGTCCCCAAGGCTGCTGGGTAACTCTCTCTAGAATCTGTGATGGTAAACCTTATTCAGAATTAAACAAGTTATAAGAAATCATGAGAATGTGAAGTAAAATTTCTGGTGAAAATGCAGCTGACCCTTTAACAACATGGGGAGCTATAGATTAGGGGTGATGACCACTGAAAATTGCTTATAACTTATGACTCCCCAAAAATTTAACTGCTAATCGCCTACTGTTGACCAGAAGCCTTAATTAACACATACTCTGTGTACTGTGTGTGCTACATACTGTATTCTTACAACTAAGTAAGCTAGAGAAAAGAAGATACTAAGAAAATCATAAGAAAACACATTTAACATATTTATTGAAAAAAACCTGCATATAAGTGAAACCACACAGTCCAAACCCATGTTGTTCAAGGGTCAACAGTAACTTAAGACAGAACGGATTTAGTCACTATGACCCATGGCTATTTAAGCAGGAACTATGACTCAGCACATGTATGCACACAGGCACACGTGGAGGGAGGCCCTCCCTTTCTGTGGAGTTGGCTTATCCTTCCACCTACAGCTACACAGCAAACCCCACGTGACCATTTTAAGAACTATTTCTTGCTACTAAATTTTGCCAACAATCTGCTCAGCGTTCTAGCAGATGTTTCTGTTTTCAATCCTCTGGGAACTGGCTGGACCTGTTTTCTTCCCCGTGTTAAAAATAAAAGAAATGGCCCAAATGTGGCCCCGTACCCCAGAGAAGCTCCCCTCCCCCACAGCCTGACTCTCCCCCATTTATGTGACTTTCCCATCCCCTCAAATCTCGTCTTTTCCACTAGAAGATGTTTCCAATTATGGTCCATTATGTTGCCAAGGATGACATCACTCAGAGGTGTGTTTTTTTGTGTGTGTTTTTAAGAAAATGCTACTGATTGTTAGTTACTTGGGGACCATCTGCAACAATTTAGCCCACTGTTGTGCTGGGTCTTATGACCCCCACAATGTCATGGCAATGTCACAGGAGGGCAATTTGTTCAAGATCGATTCTCCAAACAGAACAATGCTCTTCCACTGGGAGGGCGGGGTCCCTGACTGCTCCCTCCCAGTTTAGGTAAGTATGTGTGTGACCCCATCTTACCTCAGTAACATCCATAACTTTGATGGCCGCCAGCTGACCTGTTTTAACATGTCGACCCTGAAAAACAGAGGAAAGAAAGATAATTGGCACCACTGTTTTGCACAATCACTAGGACAGAATGGTTGGTGCTTCAACAAATCAGTTCTTCTATATTTTTTTCCAAAAAAATAATGATGAAATAGACCATGCTTTCCAATAGAACAATATCGTTGCTAATACCAATGAACCACACGTGATAAACAGAACAATGGAAACAAATGAGTTTTGATAAGTTTCCCTTTTTTTTTCCAGGGTTTAATTTCTGTATTGTTACCTCTCAATCCAAGCAACTTAAATATGTTCTTTTATACATCAGGTTGAGCACTCAAAAAAGAAATGACAAAAAAACAAACAAAAAACACCTCCCTGTGTGTACTGCTGAAATGATGAACAGTCCTTTTTCCCCATTGGGAAATGGTGAGCTCCCAACACCATTACTTGACTTCAAGGAGTTAATCTGAGAGTCTTCCTTGAAGGTTCGAGCACCCGAGTGCAGAAAGGCTGGGAGAGAGTCCCCCAGAAGGAAGGGAGTGCAGGGGCGGGGCGGGAGGGCGCATGCTGAGGCCTTTGCACAGCTCTGTGGTAATTCCGGACCTAGAACCTAAAAATGTGTCATCCACTTATATCACTAGGCATTTCTATTTTTTTAATCGTTATTGTTGAAAGTATTACATATGTCCCTTTTTCCCCCATTGTCAGTAGGTATTTCAAATTCGGTCATTCTCCCCTCACCAGGGCAAGGCTACTGAATCAATTCCTGTGCGTCTCCCTCCTCTCTGCACCCTCTGCCCTGGTCGGTCATTTCCCAGCTGAGCAGCAAAGAGCCCGCGGTACCCTGAGCACCAGCGACTTGAGAGCTTGGTGAGGAACGGTCCCCAGCCTGCCACCCTGCCACCGGGAAGGCACGGCGAGAGCCCCGTGTCCCAGGGCCCTCTCTGTGGCCCTGGATAGAGCACTGGGACACTCGAGCTTGAGCCTGAGGAAAGCTCTCCCTTTATTCTGGAGAATTCTGGAAAGTTTACATAGGAACTCAAGTTCTTACTCGGTCAAAACACCAACCTGTGAAAATGAGCCATGGTCACGGGGAGCCCCACGATGGCCCATTGCCCTGCAGTTCACAGCAGGACAGGTGCCCGGATAGGGGCGACCCTCGTACATACAGGCAACCAGGGCCCACACGCCTTCAGGCCAGGCCCAGAGCTCCCCTGCAGGCACTGCGACCTGGCCTTCCCCACGCCTGCCCTCCTGGCTCCTGCAGTGTTGCCCTGTGAATGGGGCCCATCTGCAGTTCAGGCGATCTGCAGTTCTGCTTGAGGCGCAGGGAGATCCACAGCCGGGCACAAGGAACCCTGCCTTCTCGCCCTCCAGGCCTGCTGTGCCGCCTGCCCAGCCTCAACAGACCTGACCCGACACCTCACTGCGGCCTCAGAGCACCCGTCATCGCATGCTCATCGTGCCCACAGAGCCCGGAGAACAGTCTGGCCCTGGCCCTGCAATGACAGTGGGCCACCCAGGATCCTGACAGGAAATGCTGTCCTGCCTACATGTGCAATAAAACGATGAGGCTCAATCGCAGAGACGTGCAGAAGGAACCCAGCTCTGGGCCAGGAAGGCAGTACTGGATGAAGGTTGCATGGGCTCCCATATTTCTGATACGTACAGCTGTTTCTACTACCTGTCTGTCCAAGATTCAGCATCTTTTGATAGCACCCTTCTCTGAATTGCTCATTTAAGATTTCTACCTGTGTGTGCTGAAAGCGCTGTAGCCTCGGCCTCTTCCTTGTGTGACCACAGCACCAGTACACAGAAGCAGCAGTACACAGAAGACCGAGCTCTCGCCCTGGGCATGGAGGAGCCTGCAGCGGCAGCTCGGGCCCAGAGCCCGGGCCGGGCAGTACTGCACCGCACTGCGCCTCCTCCCCAGGCTCAGCACGACGCTGGTGCCTCCAGCTCCCATCTGTCATCAGGGGTAAACATGTGCCCACTTCACAGGTTTACTGTTAAGAAAAACTGAGCAAAGAACCTCAGGGCATGGCACATGCAAGCACAGCCCTGATCCTGAATGATGCCTGAACCTGTTTCTCTCAACAAGGAGAGAAATGCACTTTTTAGCACAGTATCAAGCAACTGCCACGAGTACCCATCACATGAAACCTAATCATGACTTCCTTGAATCCAAGACAAAAGGGTAGAACTTAAGAGGACAGGGTGCTGCTATCACCCAGTCCCTTCCACGTAAGAGACACAAGACCATCTCCTTAGCACCCAGTCAGCCCTCAAATCTGCAAACACATGCCTACTCTGTGCAGTGGAATTCCTTCCAAATGACTAAAGCAAATTTCTGACTGACAGAATCCGAGAAAACAGCACAAGGCTTGCCCCAGCTTTCTCTCTTTTCAAGAGGCGCACGCAGCACTGTGCTGGGAAATTGCCAGGTGAGATGTGGGGAGTGATGTGGTCACACTTAGATCCTTACAGATCAAGAAATCCCACCTCTCCAGGGGTTACCAAGTAGCAGCCCCTGCCTTGTTCCCGCTCTACCAGAACCAGGACTGCGAGTGCATTAACCCCTAGAGTGCCGGGGAGCGCAATCGCGCTCCTGTCTTTCGCCAAAAGTGCCGGGAGCGCTATCAAAGCTTCGAAATGGCGTCCAGTTCTAAGTCTGCTTTTATTAGTGATGATGATATTGCTAAATATGTCAATGTAGTAAAGGTTTCCTTCAGTTTTTGAATATGAAACTTCATTTACTTGTGATTCATACTTTTTTTCCTAAACTGCTGTAAAATCAGCAAAAATGCCTTGGCGATTTTAGCATAGTTCCTAGGATATTGGTTGGCACGCAAAGGGTTAAGACTCAGGACAATGGTTCAGAAGCTGAGCTGCCGGTTCACACAATATTTGCTTTATAAAGAATATCAGTTTTCCTTAGTGAGTGATTACAGAATCAGGACCTAACAACTCATCAACTATTTTTATCTCAGATATAACAGACCAAGTAAAGGCTTTAGTCTTGATTATCACATACCAGTTCTTCCAAAATTAGGTTCCATTTTAAACTGAAATATGACTCAGGAAACTGACTCCCTCCTTCCTGAGAAACAAGACAATGCCCTGGAAGAAACGAATCTCGGGTTCGCAGCCGTGGGCTCTCATTCCGCCGCCACTCATGGCTGCACTTCCTCAGGGAGCTGCATAACTTCTCCGAGCTTTCCGGTCACTGAGACTCCAGCGAAGGCCATCCTCAGTGCCCGGACATCGAGCCCTGGCCCTCACACCTGGGACACTCAGGTGAGAGTCTTCACTCCCTCCAGAGCCATGCTGGCTCCCTGATCCTGCCTCAGGCTCAGACCTCATCAATGTAGGCCCATTTCTCATCTTCAAAGGGCAAGGCCAATATGTGGGGAGGCAGTGGGGTGCTACAGCGACGCACTTCCCTCTCCCCTCTCTCTAATATTCCACCTAGTGGATGGGCCACCATATGTAAAGGAACCAAAATGGGCAGCTGAGTGCCCTGAGGAGGCTGAATGTACTGAATGTACGTATGTATGCAACTGTGGGCTGAGGAGGCTACATGAGGGTAGTTTGAAATGATAAAAATGTGTGTGGTTTACTCAACACCACGGAGAGGATCTAGGATGGCCCCTCGCCGGGTGGTCCCCTGGCTTGGCTCTGGCTGTAACAAACGGCCTCCTTCGTGCTGCCTCAGTAGCATGTGAAGAAAACACACACACTCAGAAGCACCTGATCGTGCCCGGGACTTGAGGACACAGGAACAGGGCTCTTCCCGGAAGTCCGAGGCGGTAATGCGCCTGTGCCCTCCAGTCCGTCTCCAAAGGACTGCTTCACGGTCTGCTCCTGTCGAGGGAGGACGTGACCACTTCCCTGACCTGACTCTGAAACTCCCGGCCTGTGCATGGAGGGATTAGAAACTTCCTATTGATAGGACCTTCCTTTCCATTGCACCACCCAGTCCTAACATACATGGGGAAATGACCTGGTTGGTATTAAATATGCACAGCTCACAGCCATGCGGGACTGACTCTTCTGTCCTACTGTCTCCAATTCCTGGGCACTCAGTGTCCCATTCGGGCTATAAAATGCCACAGGGAGGGCAGTAAAGGCCATCGCTTGCTGTCCCGATGAGGCACCATGTAAACATTAATGCACTTATGAGACATCTGATGGTGAAAAGCCTCTTAATACCATTCTCAGTTATTTTCCCAACAGACCCTGAAAAACCCTATAAGAGCAGTGAAGCAGGCCACTATCCTACTCTGCAAATGAAGAACTGTGAATTTTATTACTAAGTTACCTACCCAAGGTACAGTGGCAGCGAAATCCCCTTTGCAACCATTATATAAAATTCGAAAGATGGATTCCTACTATTTCTACTAACTTGTCAAGTTCCTGCTATTCAAGTTTTTTGTTTTTAAAAAAACACCTTTAATTATTTTCGCTCAATGCTCTCAAAGAGTTGGCATATTGCAAGATTTAGAGTTAAGATTGCTACTGTGATCGACACCCCTTCACAGTCAGACTGGCTCGCGTTCACCAGACTGTCCCTTCAGCAGAGCCACCTGCAAGCAGTTGATCCATTTCTTGTCTTTAAGTGAGGAAAATGCATGTTTCTTTCTTTTTAAAGGAAAAAACTATTCTTGGCAGACATCCTAGCTAAGAAAAATGCCCTAATTTTCAACTCTCCTTCATGATTCTAACAGAGTCAAAACTGACAACTTGCATTTGCAAATATGCATTACATTTATGACACCTGTTCCCACACACACACACAAAATTACAGCACATGGTTCTAAACGCAGGGCACTGCAGCAGCCTGTCTGCCTGCCTCTAAGGAAGTCTGTCACCAACCTACCGAGAGGCGCCCAGAGAAGAGCAGTCAAGGGAAGCTTTTAAGTCTAAGAGGAAAAGACAGCAATGCTCCTCTGCTCACTGAAAGGGAAATTCAGGTGGTCTCATTCACAAGAGAAAGCTTAGAGGGGCCCTGGCCAGGTGGCTCAGTT